TTTTGTTTTTAATCCTTGGCATTTTAGTTTAAAGTCCTGAGGGTGTCTGAAATTTGTTAATCTTGATATAGTTGCAGTGTTCTTTACCAAGAATTTCATGAATTTCCTTTCAGTTTCAGCTTTTAACTGGAATGCATCTTCCCAGTCATTTTCCCCTCCCTTTTTTTCTCTTGGTCGTATCTGCATGCTCCACTGAAGAACAATAAGAAAGTCTTAGGTGGACATTTGCCTGATTGTGGCTATGAGCTCCTGGATCAGCATTTGAGTGGAGTAAGTTCACTGGTTGGGATACAGGGCACGCAGAATTCTTCAAACACTGGGAGGCCAGGAGTCTGTAGAATTTTGTTTGTGTTATTCTAAAATGTAGGTCTTTATATTTTCTCGTGTCTCTTGCTTGAGATTAAGGTATGAGGTAAAAGAGAGAGATATATATATACTCTTACTCCCCACCTCCTCCCCTCCAAGTCCCCATGACCACCTCTCCTGGGCAGAGTAGGTGGTTGCCTGTCCATGCATAAAGGCACACCCAAAACCCTAAACCCTTCTCCTATTAGAGGTGGACTTTGGAGTAAATCTTAGCTTCATCACATCAATATCCTTCCTTATAAAATGAGAATAACAGGAATTATCTCATAAATAGGTTAATGTTTGTAAAGCACCTGGCATCTAGTAGCCATTCAATAAACTTTAATTTTGTTTTATTCAATTTCTTGCATTATCTTATTTGATCTTCATAGAACCCTGCTAGACAAGCAGCACAAACATTATAATCTCTCTTTTACATATGATTAAACAGGTGTTCTGAAATTTGCTCAGTAGTAATAATAACTCTTAACAGTGCTTACTATTTGTCAGGCATTGTTCTTGTCCCATTTTATGGTGAGGAAAATTAAGGCATAGAAAGGCTAAATAACTTGCCCAAGGTCAAAGAGCTGGCAATGAGAAAAGTTGGGATTCAAACCCAGGTAGAATGGTTCTAAAAGCAATGCTCTTCACTAGAACTCTGTAGGGAAAGATCACCTCTACCCATCTTACTACTTAACTGGGATTTTCAGCTGTGTCTAAAAACCATATTAACACGGGACAGATTACAGGAGAAAAGTATACAAGTTTTATTAACTTTTACATGTACACAAGACAGTGAAAACTCCAAGAAGTGACCAAAACACATTGCTTTTATACCTTTTGGGCAAAGAGTAATAAACTTTGTGATAAAATGACAAGACAAAGGGGTCTGGGCTGGGGGGTAGTAAATTCCAGGGGAGTCTCTAAGAGATAAACAGAGGGGTGTAGATCTAGAGGAGGGTAACAGTTATTTTAGTTAGCTTATTTATACAGATCCATTGCAGCATCAATTTTCAGATTCTGGTGACAACGCTTATCTTGTGTTGGTACAGGGAAGGGATCTTTCTTACAGGAATTTTTATGATTTGCTATAGGAAAGAAAGGACAGTTCAGACAGCCCATTTTTCGAATACCTCTTCTCAAGTGACTTCAGCTCAAATATTGATGTCAAAGAGGCATATTTTGGGGTGACATATTCTGGTTTCCTTCAACTCTAAAGTGTCTCCATTGCTCACAGTTTTTAAGTACTGAATTTGAATCTGTCCAAGTCTAGGGCACTTGACCGTCAGAGAAGGAACCCATTAGGCTATTTAAACAAAGTAACCACTGGAGAGGAGACAGCACTAGCTTATCAGATCTGCCAACCTTGGGAGAGAACACATGAGTGGGAGGAGTGAGGAGGATGTTGAATTCCATAGGGTACAGGGCACAGAATGTGACCAGAGAGCTGGCCCAGATAGGGCACACAGTCACAGCTGGGGTGGCATGAAAACCCTGGAAACACAAGGGGAAAGAGTGTCCTTCACATTTTGTACTTGGAGGCTTGGGTATTATGGAGTGGGGAGAAAAACTGTTCCCAAAGGCCCCTGAACTTTCCACAGTTCATGGCCCCTTAGTATTTTCTACTTTGTAGTATAGTTATCAATGAGTATTTCTGATCTTCTCAGGGGCAAGACCATGTTTCACTCATTTTTATATTCCCCGTGCAAAGCACATAGAAGGCACTTAGTAAGTATAAGTTGGACGACTAAATAAATCTAAACAAATGAGCACGCTTCAATCCCAAAGGGATTTGGAGTTTGCTTTCATTTTGTTTTATTTTATTGCACCCACAATGAGCTAAATCCCATTTTTATACTTTTTTTTTTTCCTGGTGGCAAAAATATTTTAATGAAGGCTCTTTGGGGAAAGATAAGTCAATATTTTTAGCTGCTCTTTTATCAAACTCTTAATATTCTACCCATTTTAATATTTTAATTTTTATACTTATACCCATTTAAAATCACAAATAACATAGCTTTTAAAAATCGAATGTGTAACTTAATAACTGCTATCCCTCACACCTATTAAAATGTTTACTAGTGCATAAAATCTTACAAATATCAAGCCACAATTGATTGTACAGGTTTCTGTGTAAGTGTATGAAGTGTTCTTCCCAATTTGAGATTTGTTAGCAGTATTGAAGTATGTTTCTACCTTTTAGTCATGGGTGGATATGAGTCGTAAATGGCAGCTTGAAATCAACTTCATTTGAAGTTTTGAAGATAAGTTTCAAATCTTTTAACATTTCATCCAATGTGTTGGAGAGAGAATTTTTTTACTCTACTGTTTTAGCTTCAGTACCTGGGGGTGTACAAATTAAATTAACAAAAGATAGATTAACAGGCTAGATTAAAGGCATAGAATTTTAATTAAAATTAACATGCAGGGATGCACAGGAAAGAAGAGAAACTCAAGGAAGTGGTTAGACTCCAGACATACACACCCTTTTAGCAAGGGAAAGAGGATCTGGGCTTCAAGGGGGGAAGTGAATGGGAAATAAATGGGGGATCTAGTGGAAGATAAGGGCTGTTGTAGTAAAGTCTGCTTATGTAAAATCATCTTGGTGTTTCCCTGTCTTCAGTGAAGAGAATCTGCCTGATGATAAGTGATGAGTTGCTCTGCTCTCCCTGGTGGGGGAGAGGGGTGTCGCCTTCCTCAAAGGGAAATTTATGCCCTGTTTTTAGCAGATAAGGGGAGAGCAGAGAACTCTGTCTGCATCTGTTGATTCTCTGTTGCTTTCAGTTCAAAATAATCCTTATGCCTAAGTGCATGTTTTGGGGTGGCATATTCTGATCTTCAACTGGAAAGCAAAGAATATTACAGTTGAAACGTATCCGAATTATTTCTAGTTTTATCTTGATTGATTTTTTTCCATTCCTACTGGTAAGAAACAGCTGCTTCCTTGTCAAAGAAAACTGTTTTTATAATGTTTTCTGACCTGGCAGGGGGACTCTTTCTGTTACCTGTTGTATTTCATTTAGTTCTTTTTAAGTTACAAAAAACAAAAAATCAATATAAGACTATATTTACCCCCCAAAAGCAGGGGAGTCATCCATATATAGCTTCAGGGATACGGGCACGCAATGTGGGAAGTAACTTCAATTTAATGTTACATCACAAACATTCTCCGTGTTCTTGCCTTTTTATTTAACAGCTGTAAAGTTTGCCTAACCGTTCTCTACTTGTTTGATATCTGGGCTGCCTCCGGACTGCTGACAGGTCATCCTGGGACACCTGGGGACGGAGGGGGGGGGGGGAAGGGAGGAGAGCAGCCCCCCCCTCCCCTCCAGGGGGAGCCAGACCAGCCCCCCAGAGCAGCCCCACGCAGTCCCGCGCTC